ATCAATATAATACATTGCATAAAAATATCTAATAATTTTAAAATATTATAAAATTGATATAAACCTGAAGATGAGGTCTTATCCATCGAAACATGTCGTTTAATAAATAAAAAAGCGCCAAAATATAATATTTTATACTACATAATGTTTTAATATTATATAATTTTAACAACATTATTTAATTACAACGTTTGTGTATAGACTGAAAATAAATATATATATAACTAATTAAGTCATTCCAGTAGCAAGACTTGAGGTTCAACACTCAGCACTGGTCAGAACCTTCAGCCACTTGAATCTAGTTCACATCATGCCTGTATTAACATAAATTTTAATGTTGTACTCTCATCTGTTACAAGAAACAGGACATAACCATTTTCACCTATGCTAATTTTTGCAGACCAAGATGGGAGAACAGACTTCCAACATGTGAACGATGCAGGTCATGTAGACGACTTACCCACCACAACAAATTACACGACAGGTAAGCTATTTGTAGCAATGGCCCAGATGTCTATCCAAGATTTTCTGCATCCACTTCACTGTATCCTCTGGTTTTTTCCTTCTGATTGCAGCAAGTGCTGCTGAGGCCATGGGACAGGAAGAAACAGCAGCTGATTACTCTGCAATGGAGTCCTTTGGCACAAATGATGATCAGCAGGTACACATCACATTTAAACTGTAGCATACAGGTTGCCATTGTGTAGGTAAGGCTGTCAAATAGACATGTTCCATACAGAGCGTGTACATGTCTCTGACCACACTTATCTTATCAAACAAAAGGAGTAAATGCTGTTTGTATATTCTTCGAGTTCTCCATTTTTACAACAAATATAACATACTTTTCAGAACTCTATATCGCCAGCATACCTTGTCGCATTCGTATGGCTTGAGTATTAAACATATTGGAACATCAGTGAAATGATGTCATTACTGTTTTTTTAATATGAAAGAGAGCACACAGGGTTCCTTATTCTTCTGTAAATTTGCCTAAAAACAAAAGTTTAAGCAAGTGTGAATTCTTTTCTGGACTTCTGCCTTATTTCTTTTCCTCCCATCCCGTATAAAACTGTTTCATTACTTTGCATGTCTAGTGTTGGATTGTAGCTGTACACTTGCACAGAAACTGTATATACTGTACATGGTAGTGACAGGGACAAGTTTATTCAGCCTGGTTTGTTCTCTTTCTTTTTATTTAAGCTGCTAAATTTTTAAAATTAAGAGTGTATTATAATGCTGAACTGTAGGATTTGAGGTTCTTAAGGCAGCAAGCATGAAGATGGCTGTCTTCTGTGTTGTAGTGATATGTAGTCTGGTAGAAGTCTACCAAATTTTTAGAGGTCCTTGCTCATCACTCTGATAATGGAAGTATCAAGGACCTCTGAAACATTGGTAAACTTCTACCAGACAACAGGATGCTATGACTCAGAAGACAGCCATTTTCATAATGCTGAAATGTTTGCTCAGGTAATTACATAAGTTAAAGTTGTTGCTGTATCCTAGGGTGTTGGTCCCCCCCCCCCCAACTATCTGTCCTTGAAAGATATCCCAATAAAGTACACTGTGGAATAAACTGGGCAAATCTGATGTATCATAATAAGTATGTATGATAAATGTAACCAGCAGGGCATACATGAATGGAATTGCCATGTTTTGGGTACAGGAAGAACTGGAAGATGAGGAAGAAGAGGTGTGGAATGGAGATGTAGACTCTGCTGAAGATGAGAGTGAAGAGGAGGAGGTGCCAGCACAAGCTTTTCCTCAGAATGTGCAGCAGCAGCATTGATGTCTTGCAGGCTGATTTTAAATACTGACTACATGTGTTAGCTAATGCTGCCATTACTCTGAGGAAACTGGTGATTACTGCAGTTCTTATCATTTAATAGTAGATACAGAAAATCACACATTTGTAGCAACAAGTAAAGTTTTATCGAATAGCCATAACCAGCGTAATGCATCTAGCCTGTTTGTGAGACTACTGAACCATCATATCCAGTATTCAGGACATTGCTTGTATTTACAGTACCACACTGCTCTTCATGCTTGTATATCATTGAGTTAATTTTGGTAACCAAAAAACATGATATTGTAAATTGATCCTTCATGTATGGTGCCAGTTTTGCTCAGTGAGTGGATCTGCAACTTGCAGGAAGATCAAGATGGGGATGCAAATCTAGCAGGCTGGACATGAGTAACAATAAATTACATTTCATGGTTGTGTCTCTTTATTATTTTACCATTTTTTACAAAACAGATCCAAGCTGAGTTATGGATGGGACTGTTCAGAAAGCTAAGATAATGTCTTGGATACAAATTTAATTTTTAAGGTACAAAACAATATTTTTATATGTATATGAATGAAAAAAAATTTGCATTTGTGTCCAAGTGAAGGTTGAAGAACACAGTAGCTAACTTTTCTGTCATTTTGTTTGCTTATGACCTGTGTGTTTGATGTGCATGGTAGAGTTTTCTACCATGTATCAAGTCCAGTAGCTGCACTGTGCTTTTCATTTCCTTCTGTTTATGTGAACAAAGTACCAACAAGATATCATAAAGTTCTTTGAACAAAGTATACGTAATGGCTGAGTGCTGCAGTTAAGCCTGAAAACTTACTAATTAATTATGAATAATGACTGTATATATAAACTAAATATCATTGTAGATATTAAATACGTGTTCTTTTTGATATATGTTCATTTTGTTGGTTGATATTTAAAAATGCTGTGTGCCAAAATATGTATCAATTTTATCACCTGACTATCTACTTGAAATAATTATATAGCCTTCCGACATTTGAAATATGGTATATGGCAGACCAATATCCTAACATATTAAATTTACTAATCTGTGGGAGCTCTATTTTTCTGTTTTTATTTACAGAAATCTTCCCTAGTTATCCTAGTACTGAAACAAACAAAAAATGCTGCCACCATGGTAGCTGACAAAATACTAATAATAATGGCAGTAGAAAGAATTTAAGTAGCCATTTAAGAACCTTAGTATCTAGCTGTGGGAGGTAATAAAGAAATAATGGTCATGTAAAGTCTAGAAAAGTCAAATTTAAATGTCATTTGGGATAGAAGTGTAATTACAAGAACCAACTGAGAACAACAAAAACATGCAAGAAGTTGAATGTAATAACTCCTCCACAGAATGGTAAAAGCTTTTATCTGGATGTCACATTTTGTAAATTAAAACATCCAACAAGGAATTACAGAGAATCTATAAAGCCATGAACTGATTAGTTTACCTACTATGTTGTGTAGCAGTATACAAACATATGCTGTGAGAGATATATACGAAGACTACAAGCAGCAGAGATTTGTTTCATCGGAGTATTAAGAAGCAAACGTGGCACAAATTTGGATCCAGACATAAGGCAAGACCTGAAGGTAGAAATACTACAAGAAAAGGTGATTCCAAATTAAAGGTACAGTGTTATGGATGGCAATAAAATTACTAAATGAAGGTGATGAACAGTTCCAGATGCATTGCTGGTGAGTAGCTTAAAATTATCCTTCATACAAATGCGATCCATATATGTGTATATTTAATTGCATGAAAAATAACTTGCAGATACCAAAACCTGCCACTGAATATAAGGCAGGTCCATCTGCCTCTATTTCTCAGAACATATAACTAAGATCCATTTTAAAGTTAAATATACTAACATACCGTTTTGATCTTCCAAGCAGATGTTCATGGAAATTGTTCAGTTCACCTGAAGTCCAAATAGTTTCCTGATCAGTTTGTCCCTCAAAGAAATATATCACATTTCATACCCACATAAAACAAATTACAAAATCACCAAAATTTGTTTTGTATGTCTTGATCTTAGCATTGTGGAAAGTAAGATGGAATGAGGAAATTTTTCAAACTGAATAACTGGCATTACAGAATTTATTTTTCTGACTTTATCATGACTCATATTTCTTTTTGTTAGTGTTGTCCCCAGGTACCTTTTTAAACAGTCTCAGATGTACTTCAGACTGTTGTTGAGTATGGCATCTTTTATTAAAATTAAGATAGAATTTATTTACATTCCCATTCTGTCAGCTGAAACTAATATTACAATATTTAGCCATAAAATGCCTCATTAAAATATATGTACTGTATGGATAAGAATTGTCTGCAGGTGTTCCACAAAAACTGTGCATACAGTCTAGGGTGCCCGGAACGGAAAATGGCTATTTTTACACAGAACATAGAACGATTGAGGTGCACGAAGATAAATAACGATTTCGGCTTCGAACATTCTCTTACAAGTTGTATATTCTCATACAAAAATCGACATCCATATTCTGAAGTATCAAGTATCTATACGAGAAAGTCGATGTTTCCTTCGACTGGAAATATCGTCAAATCGAAAGAAACTATGAGAATGTTTGAAACTCAAAATAATATTATTCACTACGAATACCTCATTTTCACTGGTGCATACGAGAAACTTCGCAAACAGAACACGGCTGCGTGAGATGTGACGTTATTACTTACACTTCCAAGCCAATCAAATGCAAACATAGCAGGTGACATCTGATTAGAGTAAAGAATTTTGTAATGCAGATTATGCAATGAATAAACCGAAAATGTGAGTATATTAAATTGTATGAAAACCGCATAACGTGAAAAAGTATCGAAGATCTGTCTTTAATATGAGCAGCTTGCTGAATATTTTTCTTGAAGTTTGCCCTTCTTGTGGGTTGTTGAGCCGTGTAGTCTGGTAGATGTCCACCAACATTTCAGAGGTCCATATTGACTCCATCATCAGGGCGATGAATGGCATCATGTACCTCTGAAACGTTGGTGGACATCTACCAGACTACACGGCTCAACAACCCAGAAGAAGAGCAATCTTCAAGAAAAATATTCAGCAGTGGGTTGGTAACGTTTCCAACTTTATGATATTAATTGGAGGTTTTCAGCCTTGTGTATATTCTGTACATCAAGAATTGTATGTTTGTAATATAATATATTATTAATGAGATGCCGCTTTGCTTTTCCTTTTTCAGTTTGATATGTGGTGATGTGGAAGGGAAATTCAAAACACTTTTCTCAAGAGTAGATAATATTAACAAGGGGCATGGTCCATTTGACCTGCTGTTTTGTGTGGGCAAGTTTTTTGGTGCCACAGATGAAGGTTTGGAACCCTATAGAAATGGGTCTTTGACAGGTATGGGAATTGTAACCATTGATACATTTTTTGCTGTAATGTGTTTTGCAAGTTAAGTTGCATTCTGCCTGAGTTTGGAACAATTGTTTCAGCATCCCACTTAATTCTGCATACTCTGTTGATATGTCAACAGAAAGTGATTTACCTGACAAAAGATAATAGCTAACTTCTGAGTGAAATGAAAGTATTACCATGATGTTCATTTGGGTTTCTAATGCAAAATCTGTATTGGTTTCTAACTTTCTTGTTACAAATTCTTGAGCTTGTTTATGCTCATATTCTTCTTCTAGTTGCATTGGACCCATACCATACTTATAGGTATCACTCAGATCTGTATATCCTTGTATTGCTTCAGGACTCCAGTTGAAGTCATGACCTCTCAGTCAAATGCAGGAACCCCTGTTTATAGTACTGTCTGGCATGTTGCTTATGCCATACTAATCGGCATTTCTTCAAGATTACAGATATCATTTCCAGTTTACATTTTTAACTGCCGTCATTTAGTGGTGTGATACTAAGGACCAGTGACAAGTTTACCTCTTTACTGTAACTGATAACTTTTAAGTATTGAAAGCACAGGATCTTCCTTGACCAGCTGATTAAAAATCCTCTGCTCTCATGAACTTATTTCTTAACCATGTTCAAAAGTCCCTCCTTTGGACCCTGTTCTGTGCCATTTCAATCTAGACTGTATCATAATGACTTATGAACCCTCACACCTTAAACAAAATCTCCCAGGTTGTGTTTTCAGTGAGATGAAATTATCAGGATTGAGCAACCATAATACCTTGATTGTGAAAATGGCTTCTTAATGTCCATACTTTTTGTATATTTCAAGTTCCAATTCCAACGTACATCTTGGGTCCAAGCAGCCCTGAACAGGTGGCCCTGTATTCAGATATCAGTGGCTATGAAGTCTGTCCAAATGTCAGCTATCTTGGTAAGCCTGTTACTTAATTAACTCCTTTCCTTCTGTTCAGTGTGTTTCTTCCACCTTACACTGCCTATATATGACTGTTGGTGACTCATTTCATGCCTGTGCTGTAGCATTACATTTTCAGCTGTGCTTGTTTAATGCTGCTTTAGAATCAACACTACTAAAAATCAGCTTTCCTGTTTCCATATAAGCCATAGTTTTGAACCTGATACCTCTCACTAGCCTTACTTCTTGATCAACTTGCTAACAGACATATTATTTTATATGCAGGTAAACGAGGATTATTCACTACGACTTCCGGATTGAAATTGGTGTATGTGAGTGGAATTGAAGCAGAATCTGATGAACCATTGCACCACACTTTTACAAATAATGATATTGAGTCTTTAAAAAACATATGTCTTCGTGGACAAACTAATTTTCGAGGGGTTGATATCTTGATCACATCATCTTGGCCGAAGAATATCATGCTTGGTGATAAGAGTGATCATGTAAGTCATGTTCTTCTTATGTTGTGATGTGTACCCATTTTAATTACATCTTGTCATGCCACAGCTTCCAGATGATGTTCATGATAAGTTATTGTTGCCCCTCCTTTTGATGGTCATGCACTCCATTGAGCATCGGTTTGTTGTTCCAGACTTGAGTCTTAAGTCCCTGAGCAGTTGATACTTATATTCCTTTGGAAAAGAAATTTGTTGCTGTTTTGAAAATTCATAGTTGTCACAGTTCTTCCCACTGGATTTTGTTTTGAATAGTTTTAATTCAGTTCACATCCTCAGAACCTAGTTGTCTAATAATATTTTTAATATTATCCTCCCATCTGTTCCTTTGTCCCTGGTATGGTCTCATTCTAACCAAAATTTTGTATTGTTTAAAACACACTTTATGGTATTTACTTTTCTTTGTGTGTAGATATATACATTCATCAAGATCTGTATAAAAAAGCAATGTATTAATTAAAATGTATGAGAAACAGTGTCTTCATACGTGTGCTGGTTTCTCATTATACAATCTGTTACTATGGGAGAAGAACAAATTGCATTGAACATATTGTACCTGTTGCAGGTACAGATTGAACCAAATGGATCATGGCTTGTGTCATGGCTGGCTGCTCATTTGAAACCTCGTTACCATTTCTGTGGTATGGAAGGAATTTATTTTGAAAGAGCTCCATACAGGTTATGTAGAAGTCTAGTTTTATGTATTTTTGTACATTAAAAGTCATGACACCTAGTGATATCTCTGGCACACTCAAAATTAATTGTGACTTATTAGTTGCAGATATAATAATTATGTAGCAACTACCAGGGCACTTCTTTGCTTCCTTTATGTAACTGAAATTGTGCTATGCGCAGGAACCACAGTTTCTCTGGGGACACTCTAGAACATGCAACACGGTTTATTGGCTTGGCCAAAGTAGGCAACAGCCTGAAGCAAAAGTGGCTGTATGCTTTCAGCCTGTTACCAGTAGATGAGATGAAAGCTTCACATCTGTATCAGGAAACCACAGACCAGACAGACTGTCCATACACTGGTGGTATGCTCAAGCCCATTCTCTCCAAGAAACAGGTAAATTGGCATAAGTCCTTAGAAGCACTTCATCATACCATATTAGTTATCATAATCAATAGGTCTTGGGTGTGAATCTCATTCTAGAAACTGGGAACGCAGACTAAGGGGTTTCATACTTTTCAGTTTCTGTAGTGCTGAACCATAAGAAAATATGATTTTTACGAACCAGTGTCAGTTACCACAGTCAAAACTTTGCTTGTAATGTCCATTCTTATTTCATACTGATATATGTGAATTCTGTAATATGTAGGACTGTTGGCTTTATACCCAGCCTGAAGGACCCTGTATGCAGTATATCTGTAGCACAGTCCTCATCTGGAGGCTACCATGTCCAGTTGAAATCCAAGAACACGTCACACAATAGAAAAGATGGAGAATAACACTAAAATGGGTTTTATGGAAATAAACTGTGAGGATGGAACTGGCTTAGGATCACAATCAGTGCTAGACATACGTGACATTTAGTTTGAGCTGCTAGAGGAATGGTTGGATGTTAAGCAGCATTATATAATAATGATTTTATTCCTTATAAAACTTTTCTTATAGGCAAGATCATCCCAGTTCTTTTATGATTTGGACTCTCCTACTGATGAAGGTAACCAAAGAAAGAAAGCAAGAAAGGATGATAAATGGAAGGATAGAAGGAAACCACCAATATTTGATCAAGGTAGTGTTGTTTCGAGCTAAAATGTAAACTGATAAGTTTTGTATGTCTCCACACTCTTTGATCAGCCTAAAAATTCTAGGCAGTGAACATTGTCCTTGAATTTCAGACTTGCATTTTTGCTGTCATTGAATGTGTAAAATCATTTGAAAAAACAACTGAAGTTTCACTATAATTCTGCATTGCTGTTCTGATAGTTACCAGTATTTAGCATATATAGAAGTTCCTTGTTGTCATGGAACACAAAGGATCATCACCATGTTCCATTTGTTTGCCATTTTATCCTGTACTGAGCTGGTTCACATCTTTGCAGCCTATTTCTGTATGATCCATTTTAAAAGCATCCTTGCATCTATACCAAGTTTTTTTGTTATGAGATTTTCCTTTACATTATTGGACAAGACGTTCTATCCACTTTCAGAATCATGTTGGTTTTGTCTCGCAAGTGCTGCAGTCGAGAAACACCTTGTCATTAGCATTGGAAATGAGGTAAGTGGAACAACTCAGATCATAGTTCTCTTTCATTATTATTATTGTTACTGTTGCAATGGGGTGAAACTATGTCTATGTGACTGGACCACTAACAGGTCTATTATTTATCCCTCAAATGAATATGGAGCAATGATGGAATGATAGTGACAGTTGAAAACCAAGAACTAAGACACTTTGTGCACCACACATAAATCCCCCATTTATTGACCTGGTCAGGGAAGGCACAATTTGGCTGCAGTCTTGCTTGCTTTCAGGAAGGCTTATCACTGTAATTCCCACTAATAATATGAACATTGTATGCTTATGTTTCTGTGCAGTCATACTTGGCATTGGCGAAAGGTGGGATGGTACCTGACCATGTGCTCATCCTACCAGTGGGTCATCACCAGTCCCTATCCTCCATACCTGAGGCAGTTGAAGAAGAAATAGAAAAGTATCCTTAGCAGACAGTATGCCATATGCATGTGCTTAATCATACCTTATATATTTTCCACCCACTTCTCTGATATTCATAAAAGTTGATTTCAGTACCAATGGAGACTGTCAAATTTTTAATTATTTACTCTCAGTATCATTGAAAGATAACATTATTTGTAGAGACAAGAGCAGGTTTACGGAATTTGGAACATATATTACCCTTGTCACATCAATCAGTTATTGGACATTCATTAATACAGAAGTTTATTCAAGTAATTTGTCTGTCACTTCATGCATTCAGTATCACAGCAATCCTTTCCCTTCAATTTTCAGCTGTACTGTTTCACTTATTCTGTTCTCCATTCTCTGTTTTTATCTTGATATTATTATTATAACAAAATGATTTTCTAGTTAACTTTCAAGGTTTGCTGCTTTTGGTTTGAAAGTCCTTTCCTTCCTTAACAACTTACATATTCAAGTTTGCTCTGAAGAAGTTTTTCAAAAAGCAACAGAAAGTTCCTGTTTTCTTTGAGAGAAACTACAAGACTTCACACTTGCAGATACAGACTGTTCCCATCCCACGTGATATGGCCACCAGGCTGAAAGATGTGTTTCAGGTAAATCAATAAGAATCCATCTGATCAAGATCTAGCAGGGACCTAACTTGATATACAGGCATACTCTGGTTGGATACCCTCAAAAACCAATAATGTCCAATAATAGACCATGCATATTACTTCAAAAAGATGCTTATAATGACAGCTTGAAATAACTATTTATTTAGAAATAATGTAAGCGGACATGAAGATGAAACAGAATTTATATTTTCTGTGGAAATACTGCTGTGTTTATAGGAAAGTGCAGAACAAGATGGTATACAGTTGGATGAACTGCCCCCTCACACAAAACTCTCGCAAATAGCACCTCCCAGAACCCCATACTTCTATGTAGAGTTACCTTCAGGAGACAAGCTGTACCACAGAATCACAAACAGCTTCCCACTACAGTTTGGAAGGTAAACCAAAATCTGTTGTGTGGTTGTTACAATTTGTGCTGTAGTACTATTTCAGTTTGCTATAAGTTCTTGTGAAAATAACTAGTTCTGCATACAAGCTCCAATAAAAGAATGTGGTCATGTTTTAGAGAAGTGCTGGCAAGTGAGGAGCTTCTGGACAAGGTAGACAGAGCAGACTGGCGGGACTGCAAGGCAACAAGGGAAGAAGAAACTGAGCTGGCTAAGGAGTTTCGAAGTGCATTTCAGCCTTTTGATTTCACATTGTAAATTAAGCAAAATGTCAACAGATTTAATGACATTTGTAAGTACATTACATATGTCATACATAAAAATATACCACTGTTCAGAATAAATACAGAGAGTGTGAATTTATTTCATTATTGCTGTTTTTTAATTCGTTATGTACAGAGTGAACAAACATATGATCATAAAACTAAACTATTACTGTCAGTTGATCGGTATACATTAATTCGTTTTTGATTTATTTGATGGTTGAGGAAGTCTGTACTTTGACATTTCAATTTCTGCTTCAAAGTAAGACATTCTGTTGTAGCAGAAATACTCAGGGTTCTTGTATTGGCCATCTTTGGATGCACCAGGACCCACATCTAGAATAAACAAAGCAAAACTGTACAGCCCTTCGGGTCAGCAGTCTCAGATAAATCATTACTGCTAGTACACAATCTTTGCAAGGTGTGAAGAGGTGATGGATCTGAGCAACAGACATACTGATCAGCACATGTCTTTCAATAAATAAGTAATTTTATATCATATTTCTTTGTCTGCATTAAATCTACATGGTGGAACCTCCATAATGTCCAAATGTTTTCCTTGATTAATTGACACCAACTAAATAGTCTTTGTTAAATTTCCTTCATTTAAGGCTTTCCTTGGATTTGTGTTCAAATAGTAGAATGTATAACAAGAATGACAGTAAAACAAAGAGAATTCCATGGAGGATGCTAGACTACAAATCTCTAGGAGGAAGACATAGGGACAACACTTTTGCGCCTGGTGTGTATGGCCTATAAGTTTAACACAGTAATTATGTAGTTAACTAAGAACGGGTAGGAACTATATCACCATCCCCCCCCCCCAAGTGCCTATAATTCGTATAGTGGGACAGCTTCACCTTGTACTATGTGCTCAACTATCAAATGACACTGATGTGCATTCTTTGGTTACCAACTTGATTTCATATTAAAAACCAGCATCTACTAACTGCTCTGCACAATTTTTTTCAGGGAGTAGGAGGAGATGCCTCTGGAGATCTGATGTAAAAGGTACATTTAAATTATATGTTTATAATGTGAAAGGAATTATGCAAATATACAGGATAATAAAAACCAAGAGGTAGCATAAATAAATATATAAAGTATTACAT